AATCATCAAATACATCAGATTTTGCTTCCGTTAACCGTTCGGAGCGTTTTTCACTTGATGCTTCAACAATTTGATTTGATAACATCTGTCAGAATAGCAATAATCGCACAGTTTTCGAAAATAATATCACCAGCCGTAGGTCGAACCGTGAAATCAAAACAACAATAAATAGGACAGTTGGCCGAAAAAGGGCCTAGAATTTACACATGGTAACTGTAAGAGACTGGAAATTCTCGAGGCTAATATTGACTGCGTATATTCTTTCAAAGTCTCAAAAGAAGTCGCAATTCGCATAATCATGCTCGAATTGATTTGAAACGAGCTGCAACCAAACTTTTATCTTTTCCATTGAAAAGCATACATGACCAATCAAGTGCAAACAGGCTGGACATTTTGGAACTTGCAGATCATCGAAGTACTGTAAAGTTTCATAAACTTGTGATCGAAACCAAGTAGTATTATGCCGAGCGTGAATAAGCTAGATCTACGCATCGATCGCCATCATCGATCTCAATCGGCAATAAACACAGTGAGACTGGTAAAGGACTGATGCAGTATCCCTTTGTATGAAGATCGTCAATTTCAAAGCGGCAATGAGGCTTGGAATGAAGCCACCATTGTCATATTATTGTTCTTCCGAGGTACTAGTAAAAATGAACATCAAACCAATGTCTGCTGTTCACATATTGTCCACGACGTTACTGATTTGCAATGACTTTCGGCCTGATTTAAGGTGCCCATAAAAAGTGCGCGGGGAAGCGATCGGTAAACATTTCAACAATTATGGATTGATTTGAATTCAGAGAAGATTAAAAGATTATGGTTGATTTCGCAGAATCTGTCCCTACAGAAAATCCATCACTCAAGCGCAAACTCAGCTCGTATCGCGTGTTGCTTCCCGTTGTAGATTTTCTAAGCCAAATTCTTGTCTATAACCCTGACGTTCAAGTTTACATTAGCTAGACTCGTTCAACAAACAAAGGAAAAGCCTACTTAGGTCCAAACAAGATCAGGAATCATAGGTAGCAGCAATGAATTAGGCCAAAAAATAGAATCGATTTATTTGAAACGTTATAACTTTAAACCAGTTTGTATTAGTCGACATTCTATTACGAAATAGGTAATAGTGTCTGATTTATTATTTGAATCGTAAACGTTGATCATTTGTTTGACTACTGCATAATAGTAGCGTGGCCTTCATGTTCAGCGTTAAAAAACAGCACAAAACCATGGAAGTGTGTGTATAGCTTCCATAGAGGAACATATTCCGGCTGAATTTATAGTGAGGAGTCATATGAACTATGCCGTCCTATGTTGCTCGTATATTTTCTACACACACATGTTATGCCGAACCTACTCTTCGCAGTGTTCAGTGTTTGCTCTACTTATACGCGTTTGATGCGTACGAACTGGATGCTTCGTAAAACATAATAACAACAGCCAAACAAACAATGAATGTAGTTCTACATAACTGTTATTCTTAAAGATAAAATTTCCTCTAAAAACGCATCAAATGTTTGTAGGGACTCAAAAAAGTAAGGTACGTCATACTGTTCTCTTTGAACATTGTCTGTTTGGCTATTAATCAAGCGCAATGCTTATTCCGGTATTTACTGCTATTTATAATGTACTGCTTAATCATGAAATTTTATGTCAGGCCAGGTAAAATCGAGCAGGAACCTTGTGGAATTGTCGAAAGGAAGAGCTAAAATACGACTAATTTTTTCTAATATTTTGACATATGCAGTTTCAACTGATCTTCGTAATTAAGAAGATCAACTTATACTCAATGTTATTAAATTATCGATGATGACAGGTCTAAGCACTCGTTTAAATTCGTTTTTGGAAATGAACTGTTTCCGCAGTAGAATTTTTTGAGTACGACAACTGACGGATGTCGTTACATGGATCGCTCTCTATTTCTTCAGCAGAAGTCCCGCGCCTTTAGAGTCATAATGGATGAAACTGTGGTCGATGCAGAGTGAACGTCAACATGAAAACAAAACAGTTGACAACCTCACGACAATTTAAAGCCGAGAGCCATATTGAGATAGGAGGTACATTAAAAAATCGCTCAGTTCTTGCTATTTTGAGTTGGCTGATCGTCTGTATGCACTTCATTTGGTGACTTTGCAGGATACGTGATGTAAGTAAACAATATCATTTCACCAAAACTTTTTCAATTGGGTTTAACGGACGGACTAGGAACAACGCCAGAGACCTCTACATCTCTAGGCGCTTCGTAATAATATTACCTGTGACTATAAAAATAATAGCCTTCCTATTTTAGCTAAAACAGACGAAAATGCAAAGGAAGATTTAGCACGGAAAGGTTAATGGCAACAACTGGGCCAAGTAGCACCCCGTTGCAGTCATTCTGGAGCTGGCTGACCTGCATGTGGCGGTTTTCGGCTGTCGCACACTATTCTAGAGCTGTTTCACATTTCTTCTTTCATTATAAACGCATTGACTTTAGCCAGTTCCAATCTTACCAGTTTGATATCAGCAAAATAGATTCAATGAGGTTCATCAGCAAGTTGGTGGGTATCGATTTAGGCGTCCCTAAGAACAGACCTTTAATTATTTAGACATTAGCCGATTGGGTTCAATCGGAATGTAGAAATTGTAATTTCGAGTGCCTCTGACCTACGAATTTTGATTACCTCGCAAGCAACTGCCTTTCTATAGCGCCGAACACAGCCTTATTGTTCTGCATAGCTTGCTCCAAGGCGGGCGATGAGTAGGTGCGAAGTTCTTCACCATCTTTACCTTTATCATCCTTCGTAAAAGTCGGCCTTCTTTGTTCATCTTGGCATTAAACACTTGTACCAGTCCTCGCTGAACTATCTGAACGATCTATAGTCAAAAAAGGTAATTTGAATCGATCAACGTAAAAACGTTTGCTTGTAACAGGAGAAATGACGGACTATATTCTGTTGTAGTTCATTTTTGTTGAAACGTTATTTTTTCTGAGAGAAAAGACACTTTTGTAATGTAGAAGATTTCAACGAGACCTAGTTTGCGTTTCTCTAAGGAACTATGCGACTACGAGTGAAATGCTCGGACGCACATTAGCGAACTATAATAATAGTAGTATGATAAATTAGAATCACTTTCATTTTGCCTGCTTCATTGAGTGCACATATATATATATATATATCCGTTCACGTCAATGAAACTGCGACCATTAGTAAATTTGCACCCTATACAACTTTCTAAAGTTGCATCTTGCATGTACATACGACTTCCTGTACTTGCGTAAACTTACACAATTCTATCAAGTTTAAATAAGTCAACCTAATTACCTAAGGTGAAAATGTACAAAAGAATTACCTAGTTCGTTACGTTTGAGAACTTGTAAATAATTCGAGATTGAGACAGCCGTACAGAACCGTACTGAACATGAAGTTCAAGCCTAGGCCTGTTGCTAACGGAACTCAGAAGCACAGTCGATGGATCCGTCAACATCAAAAAGATCTTATATCTAAGCTATAACGATAGGATCGCTCCTGGTCTCTGGTTCGGATTTAATTATCTAGCTAAATGCATACAATAAGCACTGGAGCTATATATGGACAATCTTGCCCTAATTATAGAAACAGCTGGACACGACCGCATTTAGTTAAATAAGCCTTCATAATAAGCTTGCGCAAGGAGCAATCTGCAGCGAGACATCTGGTAAGTAACGCGCCGAAATACGCACTCGAGAAGGACCTGTATCACCATGAAAATGACAATGGAACCGAATTAGCACTGCGCGCACGAACGTCGTACATATTATAAGGGGGCAATTTAAAGAGGGCATATATATGTTTCCTATAGCTATAAATTTTAAGGTCGCTTTATCTTAAACCTTTTTTTTAGGTAAGAACAGTATTTTTGGACAAGATCTTTTGCATGTGATGATAGAATACTTCTGATCGAAGTGAAGAAAAAATGTATCACAGGCTTTTCACATATGTCCATACAAAGTCCATGCTTTGTGCAGAAGAGGTTTGAAATATATGTATATATTGAGTTGGTACGGTGGCTGTCGGCAACCGCGTTAGGAAAAACATCAGGACAGCACAGCAAAGAACTATATAATAGGTTCAGAGACAGTTCAATTGAAGGAAAATAAAAAGCTATCCACTGTAAGAACATTATAATTGTGCTTTTTGACTTATTATTAAAATTGTCCTGTAGTTACTACCGGCAGATAGAATTCTCAACCTCTGTCGAAATGCGTTAATTATAGTACTGCGGTCTCTAAGACTCCCATCTTGAGCTGAAATACCAAAAGAAGTTTAAATGATCTAAGCTGTTACCATCAATGTTGTGCGTAGCTCTATTGAGCCAACGTCAATGTCATTGCACTTCACAACAATAAACTTCAAGTTGCGTCGGCTCCCGTTGCGAACGTTACCCTTTCATAGGACACTTCAGTGCTAGGAGTTTTCAGCTTTACGCAAAAAATAGAACTTTACGACTCAATAGATGTTACTTATAAGAATAATGCAAAAGACTAAACGTCGATATGTAACCATTCAACAACGTACATTGACTTGTTTTCCACATATTTCTTTTTTTTTTTTTACCAATAACCCTATGATCCTCAATATTTTTGTCTAGCAAGCACAAAGGCGGAGCCTACTCCATATACCTGTTTACACGGAGGATGACCAAATATCATCATATCAATTCATGAACGAAGATCAGACTGTATATTACGTTTAATCGTTCTTTCGAAATGCATTTAAATCTTTTGTAAAATGTACAATAAATAGTACAACCCAATTATCCTTAACGATGAGCTAACTAAAAGTTCATGCTATTATACCGCAAGCGTACAAAAACAATCTGATCTTGTTAGCGTCTGAACATTGAACCTTCATAGGTGCAAACAAAGGACACAAAATGTTTTGCTGTTTCTGAAATGTTTCATTTTATTTTGTGGTTCCGTATATTTAGTTAATTCGCGTTCACCGAAGGTGCATATAAAAACATGCTTTCTGACCGAATTTTACTATCAAGTTTAAAATATTCTGGGCAAAATTTATTTTAATTTCCGGGCCGGGTCTGACGAAGCCTAATGGTGAGAGTCTCTTTTTTTTTTTACCTCTGTTTTGCTTTCCTCTGATTCTTGATTAAGTCAGCCACGCTACTCACTGTACAAACAATCTTTTTTCGTATATATAAAAACTCAGATAGACAGAGAAATTCAGGGTTGTGTTATCGTATCCGAAGTATAGCCGGTGTTATTATTCCCAAAAATCGAGATGTCAGTTAAAATTGTACATTTTGTAAATGTTTGTGTGTTCTTAATCGTTCCGAAAATGTTTCTAATTAGTGCCAGGCTACACTTAGAAGCGCTTGTTGAGCTTCGACGACTATTGAGTTTACTTTGAATCACGATTGTATAGATGCGTTTGGTGTCTGGTAATAGAAGGCTCCTTCTATGCATGCGAAGCCTTTACTTGGCGACCTGGAACTGTTTCAATCGGATTCAACGGAAGCACCTAAACAATGCTGGAAGCTCGTACAACTGATGATGTTTCATTGTACCGGTACCTGTAAGATAACAACTATATGAAAACAATAATGGTAACTATAGAATTATCACAGATATTGTTCACAAATTCTACATAAAATAAAATGGAACCTGCCTCATGAAATGCCTAACATTTCATACGCTAAATATCCGGTTAATTCGCTCAAGCAAGCTAAGTAACTATTATTTGAATTTCATACCTTGAATGATTTGTCCTAGATTTGACGATTGAGCACAGTCAATTCGTAGAGATCCTGATGACAAGTACAGTCCGGCCTAAACGATTCACCTTGCGAGCAACTGCTTCTTGTCCAAAGCTAATGTAAGTCCTGCCTGAATTTTATCTACACTACGTCAACGCACGTCTGGACATTGAACGGCCATAAAAGTTCACCCCGTAAGTTTGTCGCCAATCTGCGTTTAAACGGTATAATAAGCATGTTACGAGTGACAACCATCTACAGCAATTATGAATTTTTACATTAGATGCTATAAAGGGTAATCGGAATATCGATTAATAGTTGCCATTAGCTACTTCAAGCGGTGCATTGCGGAAAGGAAAAAATGTCCCATTACGCTGACACCTAAATGAATATTTTGAATTTCATGCCAGATACCGCTTCAGGTGAATAGGTGGCTCTAGCATAAAACTAAACGTTTCGAACGTAGAACGCTCATATGCCTCTGAGGCAAATAGGTTATTAAGAAACCACTATAGGGTCTGAAATCACCTACCCACATCGGCAGCCATGTCTACTGTAGGAGTGTCTCTATGCCACTAAGTCTGGATCGATTGTCTCCCACTTGTCGAGCATCCTTTTAAAAGCCGTTAGAAACTGCCCTAAAAGCCATTCAACAGTGACTCAGCGGCTTTGCGTGGACAACTTCTGCAACAGATTTTAGGTGAAGAGGATAACAGTTGTATGTTTCTTATTTATTGAAACGTTGGTCTTTACGTGCGCCGTAATAACTTAACAGACAGTATGCTCCCTGTTGACGTTGGTGACCTCGTTTGTTTGAGGTCAGCATAAATGTAAATATGCTATATGAAGTACTCTATGTCTACTATTTTCAACCCTATATTATGCTGCATGTATGGTGTGCAGATGGAACCCTTTGAAACTGTTGTTACTAGTAGTAGCATATAAATGACTATAATGGTTATAGTGTTCGACCTCACAGATGCAGTTGCCCTTTGCCTTATGTATACAAGAAATAAAGCACTTTTTACGTTTGCATTTCGCTTTACAATCGTATTGTTCAAAACTAATATGATTATATAATAACATCCTTATTTAATTACGTTTTGGGGGCAATATTAGATCTATTCGTGCATTTTTATGTAACCCTGAGGTGTGCGTAATTAGTACAGGGATTGAGTATGAGATACAGTGAGCTAAGCTTCTCTTTATCTATCCGATTACCGATGAACTCATCTTCCGAAGTTAAAAAGCAATCGACGTACGTTTACGTTTGGAGAACACCATCTTAAGTTAGAAAAGAAAACCAGCTACCTCCTCTGTAGACTGTCACTATTCATTAGTCGCGGCGCACGTGGCTTCCCGGCAGGCTGATCCTTTCCGCACTGGTTCTTTGCAGTAAGCGTCTTGGGAGCCGTGACTGCACTTGTGGACGTCCGTAGACTAAGTGACCCGAATTGACCGCCTCTCTGCAAGCAAATATCTTATTTGTTATCACGTTGCGGAGTTGTAGCATCCAATGTGGTCGATGGTGTATTTCTATGACGGGACGTGCGTCGTACACATATCTCGAGCGTACACGGGAAAACGACGTACAATTCCTATTTGAATTCAAGTGATATAGTTGACCAATCTATGTTGACCGGTTGAAGTAGCAACGTACATATAGACGTGACGTGTATTGCAGTTGGTTTTCGTATTGAAGCCCTTGTAAGTTGCACTTAACGCCGACCAATAATCAGTAATAACTGAATGTGTAAAAGGCCACGTGGATTTACGCTTACTCACTGACCTATTGACAAGGAAAGGTTTTTGGGAAAAGAATGCGAAAAAGTAAACAATATTATAACCGAAAATACTCTGCCAATTGGTATGTAATATATTAATCGGTTAAAAATAGATTTTAAAAAATCTATCGGTGTACAATTGAGCGATAGCGCGAAAGTTGAGCTACACGGAAGACAATCGAGCAACGAAGAAAAATGGAAAATACATAGAACTATTAGAGCAGCTCTGTTAAGGCTAAGGCACAAACAAATGGACCACAAAAAAAAATACGAAAAACTAGGCGTTTCGAGGGGTTCGATTTCCGGTAAGCGCTGCACTCACCATTCTGCCTAAATGGTGTACCAAGGTACGCTCTTAACCTGTGAAAGGGGGAGATTCTCTCGTCTAACTCAACGCGCACCTGCAGGTTTTTCTTGGCTTTTCGAAAATCAATCAACTGAAAAAAAAAAGGTGCGTTGAACGCATTTGAACCAATGCTAGGGTAAGCGAAATTATATTGATAACGAAACTGACTATAACCAAGTAGATGTTTCAAGTCTTACGTCTGATATTACCTTTATGTATCGCTTCAAACGACTGGCTCTATCCAGCGCAAAACAGTGATGTGTCTATGTCCGATTCCAAGCCTAAATCGTGAGATTTTCCTAAGTCTAATAGGCAAATACTGTACCATTATAATGAAAATATTAGAAGTTCACGAAGTATACATGCGCGCAAATAGGGTGTACGTTAATTCGCTTCTCAATTTTTATCTGTTCGTAAACAATCGTTTCAGACAATGGCTCCGAATTTAAGTGTATGTATTAACGAAGAATAGGCGTACGAAAGATTTCCCAGAACCAATCAGAAAAGACGGTAGTTCGAAGTGTATGAAGTGAGCAGAAGTAGCATGTTGTCTTGACTATTCGAACGTTTGTACACATGTTAGAACTCCAGAAACGTACCTCAGCGAACAAGAGTGCATCGTAAAAATGACGCGAATATACGGTATATAAATGGATTGCTATGATAGATCCGCGTGAGGATTCTGCATGCTTCTTATGAAATATATTTCGATTGCTCTGGCTAGACTCTTCAAATAGAAAATTTTTAACGAAAACCTACTCTCTGTATTCCAAATTACTAGACTACTATTTAAAGATGAGTGTTCAACACGGGACATAAAGAGTGAGTATCCATGGCATCTACGGTAATACTATGATCCATAATAGTACATGCATCTTCGAGAAGAAACGCGCCGCTGTTTTTGTTGTCGATTGCATCTGCCTGTGGCTATTGCATGTGCCAATGGATTTATAATAATAATAGGCGATAACTACAATTGATTGTATCGACAGATACGACAGCAGCAGTGGAACGCCAAGACCGAAAATCTAGTTCTTCACATAAATGCAATGCAAAAGTTTTACGCATTTACTATAAGTTATGAATCGGTTCTTTCTGAACGCCTTTTCAGAAAACAGATACAGTACTGCCCTCTACATAATATCTAGAAACAACACGTTCTAGTTTTAAGTTATAGGAGCGGGCCTCCGAAGATTCTCTGGCCAATACATAACCTGTAGCTGGATTCGGGTTAGCAGTTCTTCCTGCAGGATAAGTTATTGTGCAATTACCCTTTTACCACATTGTCTAGATACGGTGTTACCTGTTGCTCTATCATTGGTATCATCTTATGGAAAATATTCAGGAACAAAAGACTTGCCACGTTATTAAATTCAAGTGATGTTTTCGCATTAAAAGGTATCGTAGTTTCACGTAGAACAATGCTCAGATATAACTCGGAAACTGCCCTATTAGTAATATATATTTCTTATAGATTATTGGACAGTGATGCTTCGCTTGTAAGCGAAAGTAGAATATTTTCTGCCGCCAGGTATTTTATGCGACTTCTGCGATCGTAAATACACTTTAGTGTTTACTAAAAAAAAAAAAGCTACCAGACCTGCTCTGCGTCGGCTCCACAATTTACTAGACGCTCTATTTTACTGAAGCGTAATCCAGGGCAATGTCAAAGCTACGAACAGTGAGACGTCTGGCTGTTTTAGACGGCACGCTGCCCGCCGAAAATAACACACGTACAGATGCGCAAGCCAAGTAGACACCAAACTCAGGAGTGCCGGCACCTGCTTGCGACGTTCATGCTTTTTGCACACCACTAGAGTAAGACGACATTCAGAGAATCTAATTCTTTGCCATTTTGAAATATCGTCATATGCAGTCAGCGTGTGTTTATTGTTGCTAGTGGTTATTTTGTTTGTATCTAATTGTGGTAGCAAGCCTAATAACGGTTTCTACCAAGCGAGTGGGGTTTCTACTGAAGACTCTATACAGTTCTTCTCGCTACGTACCACATCCATTTGGAGGGGGCTACAAGAAAACTGTGCTAAAGGGCTTTAGGATTTTTAGCTGTAGGTGTTGGCGCATATTATTAGGCAGGGATTTTTTTTTCGTCACAGACAAACGCTCGTTCGAAGATTGTACGCTAGTGAAAGAATACAGCACGAAGTACGACAACTGTAATCGCACAGGAACAAGATGCAGCTTTCGCTGACACCTACTTTTTTTTTTAACAAAGCGTATCTAATTTATATATAGGTATAATAATAGTGTACTACATTGCACAAATTGACATGTTTTAACACCGTGAAGAGCACCTGCTAAATCTTTTGTTTACCAGCTTGATTCATTTGGCTAAGTTAGCTAAGCTGAGCTGAGAACGCCTGATACCCGAATCGATATATCGTTATTATGTTCTATTATAGCCAAGAAATGAATTTTTAATTTTTATATAAAATGTGCACTATGCCAAGCCACTATGTATATTTCTTAATGGTGCCTCAGCATGTTTTGTATAGTATTGAACGTTTCCTCTGGATGGTTAGTCCAAAGTCTGAGACGCAGTTAACTTTTTGTAGTAGGACTACTCTTAGTAGGGTACGCTTTGTCGCTGTTTTCTGCTTTTAGCTTGATGGTCGTAGCGTATCGGAACCCAGCGAGGACATGTTAGGCCGTTTGAAAATGCAATTGCAGCATCTGTGCTTCTTAGAAATTGTGATTACGTTTGTCTTGCCCAAAAGCTAAAGGAAACGGTGAAAATTTAACTTTGTTTTTTTATCTGTAATTATGAACAAGCCCCGCATACGAAGGCAATTCGTTACGGCACAAAGTCAATTTAAATGTTTCACCAAAACATATTGTCAGCTGTTGCTGTTTCCGGTCGGTTCTGGCTGGAAACCAGCCAATGTTGTTGCTTCTATTTGGCCTTATTAAATAGTTTCTCGTACTAAACACACCTTTTAAATACGCCGATAAGTTAAACCTATAAGCACTTAATATTTCAATTATTTAAATACGTTATGTAAGTGTTAACGTCTTCTACTTTGTTTGTGTATGTGTTTAGATAGTATCTATAGAGTCGTCACATACGTTGTCTCGAATCATCTTAAGTTTATCGAGCTTATCGCTGGTAACGCGCCTCCAGGGGTTTGCCAGACAGAAATATTTGCACTACCAGAATGGTAAATCTGAATCGATTTTATCCGAACATACAACATTGGTTTAAGAAAACTAGGATTAACCAAGGATCAGGCGGCAATTTCATGTAACACATATAGGATATATGACAGCATCGACCTCGCGCTTTTGCCGTTCGTTGCCATGTTCAGAAACTTTGCAGATCCTTTAATGCTTCGAGGTCCAAAGAAAAGGACAAAAACACTCGAACTATTAGAGCATTTATTAATTTGTGATGAGCCTTCAAATCGGCGAGGTGCTTCTGGTTAAAAATGTATTAGTTGCTTACACAGAATCATCGCCACATGTTGAACTTGGCGCGTTTATATAAAGAGAACAAATAGTACATTAAATGTCAGTTTATTGTATTCAGAACTGAGGTCCAACAGATAAGACCATGCACTGTTTTCCACTGGCGTCTGTGAGACAGCCAATTATTGTACAAGATTGTCACATCGTCCTTGGAGGACGATTCGATGTTGGAACCTGTTTCTGAAAAGCTGGAAAGAGTTTCTATTGGTTCTGTTACAATAGGCGTTAAAGCGGTAACCCTCAATTGCTATACATTCGCATTCACGGATGAAAGCGATATGCATCCATTACTCAGACAAAGCGTGAAAAAATCAAAGGAAACAAAAGAAAAGCAAGTACAATTGGAATAACAAGAAAAGCGAAATGACTTTACAATCGATTAGACCAAGCTAAGTCGAATTCCGTTAATTTATCCAAGGCTAGCCTTGCGGAAAATGGCCCATGCCATACGTTTCAGGAGTTCATTTGAATAAACACATACTACCAGTGTTAGTTATCAGGAACGATGTTTCCTTTTACAGACACCTGTCCGTTAGCTATAACAGATATGGTTAATGCTTCAAACGCCCACCGTCCGACGTTAATCATGTTCATCCAGTCCTATTCACGCAAATCTGCAAAACGCTGCCGGCCCTACTGGGATGGGCGTAGCTGTTGTGTTAAGTAATAACAAATATCGATCCTTCAGCCGGTTCAAAGGAGACACCGGCGTTGCTCTGTACGTAAGGTCCGTTTGTTATGAAACTACCAAAAAGCGGTACAATGAACTAGATAAATCGAACGCGTACGTGTCAGCCGGAAGAGCGGGACACTCGAAATGTAGTAGCAGTGCTAAAACGGGTTGCCTCAGGGTTACGTGTACATCGAACCCAGGTATTATAATAGGAACGTAAACGTGACCCTGATATGGCTATACCCGCGTCTACCGCCAGAGCTGTGCCGGTTAGTTTTGCTGCGAATGCTGTTTAGCTGTTGGCGTAACTGCCGTACAGGTGAATCGGCAGTTTGACGTAGATCTATCGCTGGCGATAGCGCAAAGTGGACCCAGTAAAGGTCGCCAAACGTAATTTTCACATAGCTCGACAAGATCATCAACAATAACAAAAACAGCAAGAGCCCCACAGCTAGCGACAACAACAACCGATATCAGAATAACACAATAACATAATAATAATTATCGCGGCTATTGTTCTTCTGATTGTTATTACTACAACGACAACTTCTATTGCTAGTACGAGCAACATGAATCAGTACACAACCTACGAGCCATTATGACCATCAGTGGCATGTGATGAGAAGCCACTTTGACCTCAGCAGGAACAAGTTCCTGCTGAGGTCAAAGTAGCAGCTGTAGGAACGGCGTTGACTCCGCTAGCGGAACCAGTGACAGTGAAATAAACAAAAGTTGATTTTGTCTAGGACAGTAGCGGACATTATTTTGTACTTAGAATTGCGCCTTCTTGACGCTCGTATCGCGCAAATAACACCGTACCGAACATGCCGATGTTCGGGTGCATCTCTGTTCGTGTATGTGTTTGTGTTTGATATGCACGACGTTTCGCTAACTAACGTGCATACGTAGGTACATTTATCCGTACATGAATGTAT